TACCGATTAAACTAAAAAAAAATATCATTAAACTTGAACAATTACCTTTTCCGGGTTCTGAATAACTGTCTAATGCTTGAACCAATTCATTTTCATAAATACTATTGATCCATAAAGAATCTATGTTTGATGTTATTTTACTTCGTTTGCTACTAGATTCACAGTCCTCCGTAAACTTATCTAGTGTTCGAGCCATTTCCACTTCGTCAATTTCATTGTCCCATAAATTTTCATCATTTTTTGGTGGTATGAAATCAACTTTACGACGAGAAATGCCTATAATATATATGTAGCTATAAATATTACACTGAAAATAAATGATTTAAATAATATGTTTACGATGGATATTTTTTTTATGACGATTGCAGTCAAACTTGTAGTTGAAAGTTTTTGGACATTTGTCGCACATAAATTTAACATTTTTACGTTTATTTAAATGCCTCTTTAATGAGTATTTTCGAGTATAAGTCGCACTACACTTTTCACAGTTAACCATTTTAACGGAAAAAAAACACGGAGCGTTTTATAATAAACAAAAAAATAAAAACACGGATCGTCTAGCGAATACGTTGTTGCAGTAGAAATGCAAATCAACTAATGGACGCTCTACCGCGCGTTGGATATGTAAGTACCCTGACAAAAATAAAGAAATGTAGAATAGACTACCACTTACATATGATGTATTTGCAATAAACGTGAGTAAAATCGGGTAATTTAAAACGTATGTATTTCTAAAAGATCGAGATTAACACACGTCAGTCGTCACACATATTATGTTCAGCACATTGTTTTTATACTACAATCATGTACATTTGGTTGTGTAAACTGAACCCCTTAAAATGCAATTATTACACAACAAGTATCGGATAACGTAATATAAAGAAAGTCTATCATGCGTTGCGGCCGACTGTCACGGCACACACACATCGGTTCAAATAATGTAAACAAAAGGGACCACTGTAATGTTTTTTGTTTATATTACTGAGAATATATATCATGCGCGTACTAATCTTATCTTTGTAAAATGATAAAAATAATATTTTATTGTATGACTATGAAATTTGCTCACCGTGAATACTTTTCTCGTGTCGTCTGAGAGCATCCTTTCAGCTAAATAAATTACCACAAATAGTACACTTGAATGGCTCAATTTTATTATGACTCTTTAAATGCCGGTTTAGAGCGTCTTTCCGCGAGAAAGTACATTTACATTGTTCGCGTTTAAACATTTTATAGCGATAACTAACATGTGACATACACAAATTACTGTTGGATCGTTACTAACGCATCTAACAATGGTCAAGCCAAATAACAATAATAATATTTGCACACATTTCAAAATTCAACGTTTCAAAGATTTCTACTTGAATGCTGTCTAGCAATTTTTATACCCCTTGCCTTGAAATAACACTATACCTTTTTAGTACAAATTACGGTACATACTGATTTAATAAAATAATTTGTCATTATTTTAATACATAGGAATAGAAGGGATTTTAAGTATGGATAGGCAGGAAAACAAAAACCAGCGAAAAAAATATATACAAGTGTGTGAGAAAACATCTTGCTGAGATAAGATATTATGCTTAAAAAACATTTCCATGCAGATTTGTTGACAACATTATATATAGGTAATTAGGTAATATAAATTTATGTGTGCACATACTGTATATACGTATAATGGATCAGAGGTGTAGTGACGTCGGCACGATCCATTACTGGGCGGTGAGTAGTGGGGCGGCGGCCCGATCTATGGCTGGGCGGCAAGTAGTGGTGGGACGGCGGCCTGATCTATGGCTGGGCGGCGAGTAGAGGAGGTGGTGGTGTGTTGGTGGTGGCTACAGAACATACATTTCTCTACTAGTTTTGTAATTCGTATGTTGGTGTCTTACGATTCAACAGTTTTTAAGTGATTTATGAGCATTTTTAATTTAAGCTATAATATATTCACATAACTTGCTAAAAAACTGAACTATCGTAGAAAAACAAACATACAAACACACATAATGTTCTTACCATCAAGTTTCATAATAGGTCGATTCACTCTAATTTTTAAACTAAGAGAGCTAAACGTTATCTGCTGAGAGTAAATTTGCCAAGTTACGCACTTGTAGGACGGAGACAACAAAATATGTCCGTGGGGCGTCCTCTTAATTTAATAGTTTAAATTTATATTTTGTGTTTATCAATATTATATGAAGTGTGTTAAAATGTGTATAACAAGTTATCAAGTACCTATTGATTAATGATTATTGACATTTATTGTAGATTTATAACTTAAGACATGTAATATTAGTAGTAGGTAGTTGTCAGGGAATGTGTGGGGCAAACCTCTCACGGCTTTGTGAATTACGCAAACATACGAAAAGATATTGAAAAGAGATGTCAGAGAAAAAAAAGTGAGTTTTGTCATGGAACACTCGGTAGAAACGAAGTTTCTTTTCCAACAAATATTATAGATTACAAATACATTTTAGTGGAACCATAGGTTAGGTTAGGTTATAGCTGTGGTGGTGTGATGGTGGTGGCTACAGCCTACAGCACATACATTTCTCTACTACTTACAAACACCGATAATGTTCCTACCATCGAGTTTTATAATAGGTCGATTCACACCAATTTATAAACTAATGGAGCTAAACATTATCTGCTGAACGAAAATTTGCTAAGTTACGCAATTGAAAGACAGAGAAAACAGTATATGTCCTTGTGGCGATCTCTTAAGACGTCTTTATAACGTTTAAATAACTTTTGTTATCTAGTGATTTTGATGGCCACCATTATCGTCAAACGAGTGTTGAAAGCGTTGTACAGTCGAATCGTGTACCGTACTATAATAACCGTTTGCATTTTTTGTTGAACGTGTTGTGACTTGTGGTTATTATTTTTCGCTTCTTAACTTGTGCTTAACTTTGTTCCAAAATTTGGGACAGTCACTTGGAAGCTTTCTGTAAGTTCGAGAAAATGACTATCAATATACACATATCTGGACCAAAAATGATTCTGCATAATAAAACAATAGCAGAAATGTTTGTAAATCAGTTGAATAACAATCAAGGTCTTTTTCCGAATAATTAATAAAATTTTCCGATATTATAACTTATACAATGATATATAGCGGAGGTGATATGCCTGTGTGTGTGTATGTATGTATGTATGTATGTATGTATGTATGTATGTATGTATGTATGTATGTATATATGTATGTGTATGAGAGTTCATATGTAATTGAATGAATAAAGGACTGGGTGGCTGTGAGTGTGTGTGTGTGTGTGTGTGTGTATGCATGCTTGTATGTATGATAAGGTATATATATATATGTTGAGCGTGTGTTCAGAATGAAAACTGATGAGTACCGTATGGTATCGTGTGTTTCATAGTATATTATAGTTTTTAAGTGTTTGGTCATATCATATTTATATGTATAAATATACCTAAGTATCGTATATATTATGTAAATTGTATAATATGTTCAGGAGTTTGTGATAATGATGAGTATATAATTATTGTTTGGATATAAATTATGTAAGTATGTACCTATATATGTAAACTATATTATAATATATTTGAGATACATCGCGGTGTATGCTTTAGCGAGATGTTTATTCGAATGGGATTATAATCTGAAAATGGCATAATATTTTTAGATATGTGTTATGTTGTTAACTTATATGATATTATGAGCATGTATGTATTGTATGTATGATATAGTCGATACATATTTACATCAGAATATTATATATTTTTATTTTTAAAAGGAAAATAAGAAGGGGTAATATATTTGTTTAGGAAGGGGTAAAATATATGTCGGACAAGTGTTCGATAAAGTCGAAACAAATGTACATCAGAATATTATTTTTTTTTTTAAAGGGTAAATAAAAGGGGAGGTAATGCATTTTAAGGAGAAGGCGTAAAATATATGTCGGTCACGTGTCGGATCGAGTGGCGTGCGACGAGTTTATATGTGTTGCGGGTTGCCTATATTGAGTAATTAATACAAGTTTGGGAGGTGCGTGTACTTCGAATTGCCTATACAGAGAAGCCTATGATTTTACATGTAAAATTTAAGGGGGAGGTGCTGCTGAACATACCAAATCATACTACTACAGTTCGACCGGTCCCTGCGGTGGATGTGGGCCAAAATCTGTAAATAAATAAAAAAAAATTTACGGATTGATATTGATAATATTTTTATTTTTTTTTTTTTGGTTCATAACTTAAAATAATTATATTATAATATGATATTATATTAAAAAAAAACTTCAAAAACTAGCTTGGAAGCTAAATTCATTTTATGTATTGTATGCGTTTTATGATGTTCCAAGTCACCTTTAGATTTTTTTGAAAAATAAAACTAAAGCTATACAGTTGGGAAAATACGATGGGAAAAAATGTTTGTGAACTTCTGATTAGTGATTACAATATTCTTCTTTTGAAGCATTATTTAATGTATACAAAATATAAAAACCCTTAAACTCGACTTCTATCACGAAGATCTGAAGGACTTTTGGAAGCAATGATTATTATACTGTAATCATGAGAACTGTTTTGGCCATTTTTTTTGGAGGTAATGATAAGACCAATCACATGGTTTAAGATAACATTTATTATCATAAAAATGATAAACATATATTTAATGGAGGTAGAATGAAACATAGGCCCACGGATATAGATACTAGTAGGTATGTACCACAGAAATAGATATCTATATATTATCTGTTTATTATCTATATCTGTGGTATATACCTATAAACTAATGGACAGCGCTTAGAGAGATAGGTCAGAGCATTTATTACAATTATTACAAACTGTATGTCTGTACTCTCCAGTTAAATGATTATGATCACGTACAGGTAAATTATTGTCATTACATTTTGATTTGCAATACGGACATGTCCCTAGATCTGCAATATTTCTGTGTTTTATTGTTTTCCATAGTCATTGTAAGGGGTACATTAGTTTGTAATAATTTTTCTATGTTCTTAGCGACTTTCACAATGTCATCCATGAACCTCTTTGCAACATTCCTTTTGCCCAAAACTAGAATCTCCTCTGAACATTACTGGTTTGGTTGAAATATTATATTTATTCAGTAATTCAATTGGAATATCTTCAGAAGGTTTTATATAGTAACAATAACTCATCAAGTCATGATCATGAATTATACAGGTATTTCTTGTATTATTGGAATTATTTTGTTTAACTAAAAAAGATTCAAAATCAGCGTATAAAGCAAATGGGTGTTTTTTGGTCCGTTCATAATTTTCAAATTTCATGAACGTGTTGGTTGTGGCATTATGGGTCGTAGAGGTTTGTTTTTGTTGCATAGCAGCTTATGGTCAGCCAGCCGTTGTTCAACACTAGTATCGCCTACCCCCGCCGAGTAGCCCTTAAAACATATTTTACATATTGCAGCACAGCTCGTATGTAATGTAATCTGTGATCGTACTAGCCTTGAAAGACTCGTAATCCTACAATAATGTTGTTTACCGTCTCCAAATAATAATAAGTCATGGTGGTCCTCGAGTTCTCTTGACACACCTTTTATCGCGTAGGTAAACAATATATTGAACAGATTTCTTCTTACAACGTTTGACTCTTGAAATATTAGCTGTTGTATATTATGTTTATAGCTGATTATCCCCGTTTGAGGCTATATACGTTGATCGAAACGTTAGGATTACGAGCTTCAAATTTAGTTTTATATCTTCACTTGAACAGGGTAGCTTAATTTTGAAAAATTATACATGTTTTCTATTTGATAAAAATGCTGTCCTACTCGGAATGCACTACAAGCGTTAATGTTTTGCTAAAAAGCTGTACTAAAACACTTTTCGTCCGTGTTTTTAGTGTTTACTATAAGCTTTTTTATTTTCAATACAATCCGACAGGTTAATATAAGACGAACCTCCTAGAGCCGTATACTTATTACTTATTTATATTAAGTAAAATACCATCAATGGATACGATAGTGTATCCGCTCCCTTTTATTTTCATATCGTTTTCTTCTTGAATAATTTTTATGAAATTTTGATCTAATTTGTCGTCTATGTTACAGCTTAAATACAGAGGTACACATTTAGTTTTAAATGCCCTATTTGATGTAATGTTTGTATGTGGTATACCATACGTTGCCTCTACTGTTATAATATATTTTATGGGACACGACTGGATTTCAGTTGCTAATAAATCCTTTATTTGAGGTTTTAACAATTTCAAATAAACGTCATAATCCTTTATATGTTTATTGTTCTTTTTAAAATATTCGTTACAAAGTCCGTTAAACGCTGACGCAACTTAACAAACCAGACGCTGAAGCTGGATAATTATCTATAAGTTTGCGTTTATTTGAACCATCGGTGTTTGTTTGATTGGAATCAATACCTATTATATTCAATACCGATTAAACTAAAAAAAAATATCATTAAACTTGAACAATTACCTTTTCCGGGTTCTGAATAACTGTCTAATGCTTGAACCAATTCATTTTCATAAATACTATTGATCCATAAAGAATCTATGTTTGATGTTATTTTACTTCGTTTGCTACTAGATTCACAGTCCTCCGTAAACTTATCTAGTGTTCGAGCCATTTCCACTTCGTCAATTTCATTGTCCCATAAATTTTCATCATTTTTTGGTGGTATGAAATCAACTTTACGACGAGAAATGCCTATAATATATATGTAGCTATAAATATTACACTGAAAATAAATGATTTAAATAATATGTTTACGATGGATATTTTTTTTATGACGATTGCAGTCAAACTTGTAGTTGAAAGTTTTTGGACATTTGTCGCACATAAATTTAACATTTTTACGTTTATTTAAATGCCTCTTTAATGAGTATTTTCGAGTATAAGTCGCACTACACTTTTCACAGTTAACCATTTTAACGGAAAAAAAACACGGAGCGTTTTATAATAAACAAAAAAATAAAAACACGGATCGTCTAGCGAATACGTTGTTGCAGTAGAAATGCAAATCAACTAATGGACGCTCTACCGCGCGTTGGATATGTAAGTACCCTGACAAAAATAAAGAAATGTAGAATAGACTACCACTTACATATGATGTATTTGCAATAAACGTGAGTAAAATCGGGTAATTTAAAACGTATGTATTTCTAAAAGATCGAGATTAACACACGTCAGTCGTCACACATATTATGTTCAGCACATTGTTTTTATACTACAATCATGTACATTTGGTTGTGTAAACTGAACCCCTTAAAATGCAATTATTACACAACAAGTATCGGATAACGTAATATAAAGAAAGTCTATCATGCGTTGCGGCCGACTGTCACGGCACACACACATCGGTTCAAATAATGTAAACAAAAGGGACCACTGTAATGTTTTTTGTTTATATTACTGAGAATATATATCATGCGCGTACTAATCTTATCTTTGTAAAATGATAAAAATAATATTTTATTGTATGACTATGAAATTTGCTCACCGTGAATACTTTTCTCGTGTCGTCTGAGAGCATCCTTTCAGCTAAATAAATTACCACAAATAGTACACTTGAATGGCTCAATTTTATTATGACTCTTTAAATGCCGGTTTAGAGCGTCTTTCCGCGAGAAAGTACATTTACATTGTTCGCGTTTAAACATTTTATAGCGATAACTAACATGTGACATACACAAATTACTGTTGGATCGTTACTAACGCATCTAACAATGGTCAAGCCAAATAACAATAATAATATTTGCACACATTTCAAAATTCAACGTTTCAAAGATTTCTACTTGAATGCTGTCTAGCAATTTTTATACCCCTTGCCTTGAAATAACACTATACCTTTTTAGTACAAATTACGGTACATACTGATTTAATAAAATAATTTGTCATTATTTTAATACATAGGAATAGAAGGGATTTTAAGTATGGATAGGCAGGAAAACAAAAACCAGCGAAAAAAATATATACAAGTGTGTGAGAAAACATCTTGCTGAGATAAGATATTATGCTTAAAAAACATTTCCATGCAGATTTGTTGACAACATTATATATAGGTAATTAGGTAATATAAATTTATGTGTGCACATACTGTATATACGTATAATGGATCAGAGGTGTAGTGACGTCGGCACGATCCATTACTGGGCGGTGAGTAGTGGGGCGGCGGCCCGATCTATGGCTGGGCGGCAAGTAGTGGTGGGACGGCGGCCTGATCTATGGCTGGGCGGCGAGTAGAGGAGGTGGTGGTGTGTTGGTGGTGGCTACAGAACATACATTTCTCTACTAGTTTTGTAATTCGTATGTTGGTGTCTTACGATTCAACAGTTTTTAAGTGATTTATGAGCATTTTTAATTTAAGCTATAATATATTCACATAACTTGCTAAAAAACTGAACTATCGTAGAAAAACAAACATACAAACACACATAATGTTCTTACCATCAAGTTTCATAATAGGTCGATTCACTCTAATTTTTAAACTAAGAGAGCTAAACGTTATCTGCTGAGAGTAAATTTGCCAAGTTACGCACTTGTAGGACGGAGACAACAAAATATGTCCGTGGGGCGTCCTCTTAATTTAATAGTTTAAATTTATATTTTGTGTTTATCAATATTATATGAAGTGTGTTAAAATGTGTATAACAAGTTATCAAGTACCTATTGATTAATGATTATTGACATTTATTGTAGATTTATAACTTAAGACATGTAATATTAGTAGTAGGTAGTTGTCAGGGAATGTGTGGGGCAAACCTCTCACGGCTTTGTGAATTACGCAAACATACGAAAAGATATTGAAAAGAGATGTCAGAGAAAAAAAAGTGAGTTTTGTCATGGAACACTCGGTAGAAACGAAGTTTCTTTTCCAACAAATATTATAGATTACAAATACATTTTAGTGGAACCATAGGTTAGGTTAGGTTATAGCTGTGGTGGTGTGATGGTGGTGGCTACAGCCTACAGCACATACATTTCTCTACTACTTACAAACACCGATAATGTTCCTACCATCGAGTTTTATAATAGGTCGATTCACACCAATTTATAAACTAATGGAGCTAAACATTATCTGCTGAACGAAAATTTGCTAAGTTACGCAATTGAAAGACAGAGAAAACAGTATATGTCCTTGTGGCGATCTCTTAAGACGTCTTTATAACGTTTAAATAACTTTTGTTATCTAGTGATTTTGATGGCCACCATTATCGTCAAACGAGTGTTGAAAGCGTTGTACAGTCGAATCGTGTACCGTACTATAATAACCGTTTGCATTTTTTGTTGAACGTGTTGTGACTTGTGGTTATTATTTTTCGCTTCTTAACTTGTGCTTAACTTTGTTCCAAAATTTGGGACAGTCACTTGGAAGCTTTCTGTAAGTTCGAGAAAATGACTATCAATATACACATATCTGGACCAAAAATGATTCTGCATAATAAAACAATAGCAGAAATGTTTGTAAATCAGTTGAATAACAATCAAGGTCTTTTTGGTGTAAGCCATTTGATATTGTAAAATTATTACGAGTATACAATTATATGCGCATGCCTACCCATGGCACGTATATTATGTATTTTATTATTAACGTATTTATTGTATTAATTTATACAGATCGACTGTTCAACCGATAAAGAGTACGGTTATCCAAAATTGAAAAAAGACGTTTTAGCAATGGCTACTGCATTTCAAAAACATGATCTTGGACACGGAGACGTTGTAATGATTATAGACTATGGTTCGTACGAAGGACAGGTAGTTATGTTAGCTGGGATTTTGGTCGGAACAACTATAGCTCCATTGGATGGCAGTTTAAGGAGAAGTACGTAATATTAATGATTTCATACTATAGCTTGATTTGTTTCACTTATCATAAACGATATTTTACAGGTGTCTTGACAGAGCTTATTAATGAAACCAAGCCGAGCGTATTGTTTTGTAATACTTTTAGTATAAATATAATAACAGACATTTTAAATACTATCAAGCATCGACCGATATTGAAGATTTCTACCATGATCCATGATGACTTTACTGCTTATTCAAATATTATCGTTGTTACGGCGGACGAAACTTTATTAGTCCGTCCGATAAAATCAAAAAGCCCGATTGGTCCATTCGCTATCATATATTCGAGTGGTACTACAGGAACTCCGAAAGGAATATATTTATCGGACGATGCTATGAAATCAGCATTAATATCGCTCAAGCAGTGAGTGTCTGTATATATATAGTTTATAAGTCAAAGAATAATTTTTTAAAAAAACAATGTTAAAAATGGTTTAACGCGGTATGGTAATTTGGAATAATTCTATGCCATGAAATGTTATAAGGTCAGTGATGGAAGAATCTACTGAA